CTGGTAACCACATTTGCAGTCTACCTTTTGTACCTTGTGACAAAATGTTTTCAATTTTCCAGGTGTGACACACCTGCGTTATTTGAGACTCTAAATAAAAAAAGAGATGCAAGATGCAAAAAGGTAGTTATAAGTGCACTTTCTGTTCAGTAAAATATTGTTTCAGTTTTTGTTCATCAAGTTTTGTATTCAGCATTTTCTTATAATTGTTATTTATCCCGTTAGATTCAGTGCACATCTCCACCTCAGGCACCTTGACACACCTTCAAGCCGCCACTCAAGAACCCCAGCTCAAGTCTTTACAGTGTAGTCACTGTTCTCTGGTCTTTAAATCCAAGGTCTACCTTTTTGAACACCTCCACAAGGTTCATGACTTCAGTGTAGATGCTGCTCTCACAGATGCCAGCTTAAAACAAGCTGGGACTGACCAAATCAAAACTGACATCAAAAGCAACAATTCAGGAGAATATTTTGAATGCCAGCATTGTGATTTTAAGGCTTTTAGTCTGGATGTTTTAAAAGAACATGAGAGACGGTGTCAAAGAAAACCAGAGAATCAGAATCTAAATCTAGTCATTTCTGAAAACCAGAAATGTAAAGTTGTTCTGAAAAACCTCGCAGAAGCTGAAGGAGCTGAAGAGATTCCATCACTTAATCCAGTGAAGTCCACCTCAACAACCAAATGTGCACCAAACTCATCAAAGGACCTGAAAACATACAAAAGGCCATTACAAACCATCACCAAGTACTTAGTGGCATCTTCTGGAATTAAACGGGAATCCCCAGTTCAATCAGATGATTGCTCAATGTCTCTAGATGGCGCAAAAGAAACCCTCCTTTTGCAAGAGTCTCCCTCAAACTCCAGCCCAAACAGCAGTGGTGTGTTTAAAGTCACTGCAATGCCCACGATTGATATGACGGAAAGGGATTCTACCCGGTTCTTGCTAGATGATCCCTTTCCTGGTGCTAACCTGAAACCGCCAAAGCTTCAGGGACAGTTAAAAAAAACAGTCTTGAACTATGTTGACAAGAGGCCCAAGCATGGAAGCTCAGGAGGCCCTCCTGTTAAAAAAGCAAAATCAGACAAAAACCTTCCAGAGAAAGCAAATGCAAGTAAACATCAGTCATCAAGCAACAAAGAACTGTCACTGGAATTCAGCGAAGGTGAAGAGGAAAGGAATCTGGAGGACATGGATGTGGAAACCTCAACAGTTTATAACTGTAAGCATTGTGATTTCTGTGCCGTTGGCATCAGACCTTTGTCCGCCCATTATCAAAACAGTCACCCTCACATAAGATATAATGCTGTCTACCTCAAGGACCCAACTGATCAGAGTGCGACCTTCCGTTGCCTGGAGTGTCCGATTGAGTTTTCAAATGACGCTGAACTCAAAAGACATTGCACTGAAAATCATCCAGAGGCCTTGCGTGCACTCACAATGCAATCACATGGCCACAGTTTGGTTTTTAAATGTTTTGTGTGTTCATTTACCACAGATACATTGAAGGCCTTAAAAGAACACTACAAGGAAAAGCACCCAACACATGAAGTGGATAATTCTTTGATGTACTGCAGATATTCTGCAAGTAGATATCAAGAAGAGGATGAATCTCGGTTGGTTGAATGTCAAAAAGTACCAAGCCCTGAAAGAACAGAAGACATTTCTGCAGAGAGTGTCCATGTACCATGCAACAAAGTAAGAAAAACACCTTCGCCCCAACATCCCAACTCCATTGAAGCGGACATAACATTGTATCATTGCAACAACTGCAAGTTTAGTCATAAGTCACTAATTGTGATGCATGTCCACTACCAAAGAAGCCACCCAGATGAAGCTGTCACAATAGACACGATCAAGCAGTCAGCATCCGTCTCATCGCATACAAAATTGCAGATGACTTCAGATAAGTCTCCGGACTCAGTGATAGAAAAGTCTACACCCACAAAGAGCACCACAGATTCTGAGACAACAAAACATAAAAACAAGCTGCCATTGAAAAGGTTAAAATTGTGTTTGAGAACACCTATGCGCACCCAAGAAGCTTCCAAAACCCATTCGGAGTCTCCCAAAAGCACGAAAGTGGAATCTGCAGAGGACAGAAGTAAGGGAACAGTATCACCTACCACACAAGACACAGAAAAGTCTTATGATTTGGATAGTTTATCAGTTGGCAATTCACCAGAGAAGTTGTTCTACTGTCAGCGTTGCTGCTATTCCAGTACCAATATTAAAAGTGTTCTTGGACATCATAACACAAAACACTCTGTACATGAAAGAACAGATATTATAGAGATTGCATTATATAGTACTGAAATGCAGAAAAGGAAGCAAATTCAGTTAAGTCCAAATTCAATCCCCGCTGATTCTGAAGTCTGTGAGCAAGTTGGGGTTTGTGATGGAACAGAACATCAGCACATGGAGGAGAATTCAACAAAGAAATCAGTGGTGGAGTCCAATGCTTATGCACACCCGGAAAACTTGTTCTACTGTCAAAAGTGCAACTTAGGAAATCCAACCATAAAAGGAGTACTGAACCATCAAAACAAAGCTCATAGAAACATTAAAACCAAAAGAGAATGTATTATTAAACACACAGCTTTGATCCGTGATCAAATCCAAAAGTCAAAATCCCAAGAAAATGGCTCTGCTTCTCATCTACCTCTTCCTGTATTAAATGAGGGAGAAACGGATGTGTTTTTCTGCCACTTCTGCAATTATAGACACCGTTTTTTGAAAGAGGTACTGCGTCATTATGCCACCAGACATTCTCGATTTAAGGTAAAGGATGAACGAATTCGCCGGTATTCTTCTCTGATCCACGAAAAGATGAAGAAATCACCTGAAAACCAAGAGGTCACACATGAATCCCTTGGTGCAAAGGAGGAAAAAAAGATCAAAACAAAGGAGGGTAGCAAAGTGTCAGAATCACCATCAACGACAGCCTCACAAATACAGAGGACCCTAAAGTGCCGTGTATGCCAGTACAAAACTCAACATGTGTATCTTTTGAGAAGGCACTTGAAGCAAATTCACAGGGCAAGCCGCACAGTCACTGAAGTTTTGAGAATGTGTTATAAACAAGGAGCTATACCAGCAGGGTATCACTGTGACATGTGTGTATTTTCTCACCAAACAGCTAAAGCAATCTATGAACATTACAAGGAAAAACACAAAAAACAACCAAGCCTTGAGTTTGTCAGTACTCGGTTACATGTAGGCCCAAAATCAGCCCAATCTAACGGGAAGGAACAGCAGATTGAGGGAACTGATATTTTAATAGATGGGGATGTCACTGATGACAGTTTATCACCTCAAAGATCTAGACCTAATGAAAACAGGGTGTATTCCTGCAAAGCATGTTCTTTTAAAAGTCACTCAATGTCAAATATCACACAACACTACCGGGCAGTCCATCCTTGGTCTGTGAAAGAGGATGGCTCAGTCCTGGATGTCATCGACAGCAGGAAGCCTGGTGGAAACAGGCAGGTGGAAGACCCCAGTGACGTACCTGTGGCTCTCGACAAGTACCAAGTGCCACTTGAATTTGACAACTCACCTGGTACACCTAATAAAGTGGCAAAATCTTCCAAAAAGATCATCAATTATTGCCCTGCAAAGTTTCATTCCCAGCTCCGCCTTGATACCCACATTGGACTCAAACACAGAGAATCTGAAACTGAAACTGAAAATTCAAATGATCATGGAGAAGAGCAAATCCAAACAAGTTTCCATCTTTTCTCATGTCCACATTGTCCCTATGTGAACACCATTTATCATGGAGCTCTCAATCACTGCCAGATGAAGCATCCTGGCGCTGAATCCAGTGCAGGTAGTTTTCTTGTGGATGGAGATGATTTAAAGAAGTTAAGGGACTGTTTGAAAAGAAAAGGTCCGGGTGTGAGAGTCAGTGGGTACATGTGCAAAACCTGCCCACAAATTTATGCAACACTGGAGAAGGTGGAGAGGCATTTCAGGAAATTCACTCATGGAAATGTGGTAAAAGCCGTGCCAACAAAGCTCAAACCGCCTCCTAAACTATCAGCTGTTATGAAACAAACAAAGGCTAAGCTCCGTAGCAATAAGGGATTCATGTCGAAAGCCCCATTTTTTAAGAACAAACAGTTAATGGTAAAGTGTCATCATTGTGCTTACAAGTGCACCACGAAACTTGGGCTTGGTCGACACGTTCTTCTTAGCCACAGTAATGCATCTGCAGCAAAGACTAATGATCCTCCCTACAAGTGTGCTTTGTGCTCCAATGCCTATTTCAGAAAAAAACTTCTTGGAACCCATTATGCTAACAAACATGGAAAAGAAAGCCTTGTCAAATACTTTGCACCGCTAAACAAGCAGGTTGACAAGACGCCCAAGCCAGCAATGGCGGACTGCTCTTTAACCCAGCATCAACAAAACAATGTCAAAGCAAATAAACAAAGAACAACGACAGAGGAAAACAAAATATGGATGTTTAAGTGTCCATACTGTACCTATGTGAATGCAAGCTACTTTGGAATTCTCACTCACTGCCAAATGAGCCACCCAGGCTCCACAGCCAGGGCAGATGATCTTCATGTGGAGGAAATCCTTGTTACCGACATGGTTGGCTTTTCAAAGGGAAAAAGCCCTAATGTCCGAGGCTACAGGTGTAAACGGTGTCCACAAATTCATGTATCAATGAAAAAACTAAAAACCCATTGTGAGAGGGACCATGGTACGACTGAGACAACGTCTTCCAAACTTGTACTTACAATAAAAAAAACACAAAAACAACAGGATTACAGCTTCCAGCAATCGGTATTGGAGGCTTTCTCTTTAAAAAATGACACATCAGCTGTGAGCATCATAGAAACTGACCGCAGTCCCCAACTGGACGCTCCTGAAATCGGTGAAGCAAACACAACATCAGTTCAGAACAAGGAAATGCCGTATGAGTGCCACATTTGTTCCTATAAAGGCAGCTTTCGAAGATACCTGCAAAGTCACTACAGGAAATGTCACAAAATTGATGCATTGACTACACACAAGCTGCTGCAGAAGTATAACAAGCGTACACACAAGACGGAAGACCAGTTGGAAGCTCGACCTGAGGAAACTGCTACGTCGAATGTAAGATGTGTCCAAATGTGATGTTTGACTCCCCTGAGCTGCTTATTGCCCACTTTAGAACCGCTCATAATTCAGATCGCATTCTGGACTTCATTATTTTATCAAGAGGATCAAAGAGGACCACTGGGCTTTACAAATGCCTCCACTGCAAAAAACAATTGAACGGAATTAGTAAGATGTGCTATCATATGGACCGCCACAGAGAAAGGGAGAATATGAAGTCAAAGGATGCAAAGATGGAGACATCAGATGTCATAATGACAATCTCCGAGGACAGATCTGTCGAAGTAAGTGAACTCTACCGATATACAGTTATATACAAATACAATTAATATCACTTTGCTGTATTTAAAAGTTTAAAATTTGTTTTTGATTCTACTTTCTCAGCAAGGTGAACTGCCTGTAGTGGAAACTTTGGAGGAACTTGAGTGGGACGGGGCACCAGTGGAGATCATGACTTTGCCAACAAGCCCTCTGTCGTCACCTACAAAACCAACAGATCAGGAGCAACCAGAGGAGGATTCAAGAGACGACCTCCCTACCTGCAAACAGTGTGGACGGACCTTCATGTCAGTGAAAGGTTTGCGCTCACACGAGCGTAGCCATGCAGCATTTGCAGCCATCAAGAAACACACACTGCCTGCGTCAGTCCCAAGGCACAAGTAAGGAAAAATATAGATCATTATAAGTCATGTTTGCACTCTATGGAAAGTGGAAAGAATATTTCCATATTTTCCAGTCCAAATCACCAGAGTCTTTAGGCATTTAAAAAAAAGTCCCAAATATCCTCATGTTAAAAATTGTTTCTAATAGTTGTATAGTTGGGCTTTACAAATGGTCTTTAGATGTCTTCCTTTAGCTTCACAAAGCTGACAAATCTGATCAAAGTATTTGTTTTTACAGCATTATCGGTACTGCCTTTTTAAATAGGTTGAATAAATTAAAAATGCACAACACTAATTGTATGTCCTTTACTCCCAGTGTCTGGTTATATCTGACTGCATGTTTTTTTTTTTCATTCTTTCAACAGAATTAACAAATACATCATCTATAAATCTGGTACCACAAAGCCTTTTGTGTGTAGTTTCTGTTCTTATCGGACAAACGTCATGGGCCTGTGGAGAAGACATTTCATGAAAAGTCATCAAGGTGAGTTATTTTTACATTATAATCAACATACCTCACAGTTAAATTAGCAATAGTATCATGTTGCTGAGAAATTAACAAAGATAATATTTCATGAGTCAGGTCTGAGAAGACTGGAGGGGACTGAGATTTGACCAAGGCAGCACTATGTATGATCTGAAAGACAGCCTTAAAAAGATCAACTCTTGTGTGACAACTGAATTTAAAAAAGAGTATCTTTATATAGAGCTTTTATGTGACAGTGATCAGTCAAAACATCCTCCACAGCTTTGATACTGATCACTTGGATTTGATGGGAAAGAGTGACGGCACAGCTCAATCAACAACTCACACTGTACTCTTATCTTTCTGAATATTACAACTAGTCTCAGTCCAGATCATTTTCTCTTTGATAGAAACTGCATTTTTTTTAAGAGAAAAACTGAAAAACTTCAAATCTGCAGGCAGCTATTAGGATTTACTAGTTTCCTTCCTGCCAATAATAAACTGGTCAGATTAAACCAAGCTTGTTACTTCATATTTTAAGTGGTGATCTGTCTTTCCTTTGACATGTATATTTACCCCATGCATGTGCTGAATGCCCAGATATTCTTGAGGATCCGACTGACGCTGAAGACCAAGATGAGGGCAGCGCTCAGAGCGACGTGGAGCCCAATCCATCAGAAGAATGGAGCGATATTCCTACACATGATGAAAAACCTGAAATGAATAAAAGCAAGTCCAACCTGTTGTTCATTTTAGTCAATCATATTTCATGTAGCTGTTGAAATGTACATTAAACACACTTTTTATTTACTTCACCAGGATCCCTGTACTCGGAGCCTCCAAATGTGCAGCAGCAGTTGAACCAATATAACTTAATGGCACAGGTTGGTGCTTCATCAAAAGTGACCATGAAGGTAACCAGGTTAACTAACAGCAGCGTGCTTTATTGTGAGCTCTGCGACTTCAACACCGAACACCTGAGCAGTATACGACGGCACTACTCAAATCGCCATGGAAAGAAACTCCACAAGTGCAAGGACTGTGAATTTTTTACTTGTTCAAGGTAACAACCGCTTTGAGCATTTTTCTGAATACTTGAAAGAATGTTGGAATTTGAAAACATGTATAACTATTTTTCTTGACTTCTTCATAAACTGAGGAATGCACTGAATTCGGTGCATTTATTTAATCTGTCAATGTCCTCTATATAACATACAAATATCAAAAGTAACATTTTGTAATATCGCTTTTTTTGTACAAATAAAGTTAGATATAGCACACAGAGCAGTTCTCCCAAACTAAATTGGGAACTCAGATGTTCGAACAAAAAAAAGTGGAGAAAAACTTAAGACCAAAAAAGATTGGTATAAATGATCCAGGTACAGACACTCGGGTCAGGATGGTTGGACATTTTAACAGGCCTTTAATTCATAGGGCTAGAAACATTGAGAATACACCAACGCGTATTGGCTTGCACCTCCTTCAGGGAGTATGGGCAGTCACTGCACCCCGAGGAAAGTACAAGCCGATATGCGTTGGTGTTTTTAAAAAGGTTTCTAGCTTTATGAATGAATGGCCTTTTATACTTCTCAAACCATCCTGAGTGCCTGTACCTGGATCATTTATACCAAGGTTTTACTGGTCTTTTTTTAAGTTTTCCTCCACTTATCTTTTTGAAATATTTTCCATGATGGTTTTGAGGGACACCAGCAGCGCTCCTGATTAGATTAGATTCTTGAGTTGTTGTTTTTTTTTTTTTAGGAAGAATTCTAAAGCGCACAATATAGGAAACATAATTAGCACTCAGAAGTCAAGTTTTTAATGCAGCATGTTTATTTTTGTTCATTCAAAATAAAATGAGCAAAAATATTTCTGTTGTTGTTGTATGTTCATAAAAGTGTATGATATTACAGCATGTTATCCATGCAGATATAGTGGGACATGTACGGTATTAAGGATGTGGAGCTCACATTTTACTAGTTTTTTTTCAATTGCCAACAGTTGAGTCTGAACTTTGTTTCAGTCAGAGAAGTACATTTAAAATGTACTTTCAGGATTATGTCGGGGAAGCATTCACTGAGTCATCTGTTCCAAACCCTTTGTGGGATATTTGTGACTAGAAACATTCCTCCAATTCTGTCACTGACATGTTTGGCTGTCACTTCCTTGTCCTGTCCGTTAGGAAAACCCTGAAAATGCACATGGACAGGGGTCACTCAGCATGCCCGTCAGAACCTACTCATCAGAAAGACATCTGCTGCCCTTTCTGCCTTTACCAGACTAAAAACAAGAACCACATGATTGATCACATCATCTTGCATCGGGGTAGGTTAGACACTCGGTAGGATTAAGTGCTCCTCCACACTTTGACCCTTTCCTGTCACGATGCGTCATTCTCTTTGTTTCTTTCTTTCTCAGAGGAACGTTTGGTGCCAATCGAGGTGCGACGCCCGAAGCTGTCGCGTTACCTTCGAGGCATGGTGTTCCGCTGTCACAATTGCACTTTCACATGCGGCAACGCTGAAAACCTGCATTTGCACATGATGAAGCACGATAGCGTCAAACCCTACAAGTGTCGACTGTGCTTCTTCGACTGCGCTCAGCTCAGCGACTTGGAGGCACACCTGAGTGATAAACATCAGGTGAGGAGCCAAACCCCTTTATGCTTCACTGGAAGCCCTTTGTGTCTAAGGGAAAGATACATTATCTACTTACTGCTGGAATTTGAAAAGTGAAGAGAACTATACACGGATTCTTTGTTTCACATTGTCAGTAGCTGATAGAAATGCATTTCAGAAAATAACAGAGGCAGTGAAGGAATGACACCATAGCGCCTTTTCTCCAAAGAGTTTCTTGCACCAGAAGCCATAAGAACATAACTCGACACTTATTCACATTTGTTTACAATATGAGAAAGATGTTTCGGCCACAGTCTGTATAAATAAGATGCTTTCTGCACTACATATTTGATCCTAAATATATTTGTTAAATGAAGAGTGCTGCCTTCAAAGCAGGGAGAGGAATGATCGAGAACTACATTAAGCCTCAAAATTAATTTCTTAGTTCTTCCGATTAAAAGACTGTATGTGGCATGGTTCCTGTGCACCTTTTTAAAGTTCTTTGGGGTCAAAATTGGCTTAAAAGGTTCCTGTACAATGTTTCAATTTGTTTTTGATTTGATTTTTGCAGGTCATAAGGAATCATGAGCTTGTCGGTCAGGTCAGCCTGGATCAGCTAGAGGCGAGGGGAGAAGGACGCCAGGAGATGAAGAGGAGCTCTTGGATGACTCGGAGCGACACAACAAGGAGACGATAAAAACAGAGGAGATCGGCTCAGACTATGATGAAGTTCAACAGGAGATGCAAGCTAAAAATCCTGGAGAGAATGAGATGATGGAGATAATGACCTTTAAGATCGAGGACGATTACCAGCAGCAGGATATGGGTGGCACCAAAAGAAATGAAGAAGGACCTGAGAGTTTATTATCAGACCTGGAAAATACTGTGGACCAAAATATTGGTGAAAGCATGGAATTTAAGAACTGCAAAGGTCCAGAGAAAGAGATGCAGACAAAGGAGAACACAGCCCGCACCTCACTGAGAGATTGTGGAGACAGCAGTACGAGGATCACGCATGAAAACAAACAGGATGAGAGCTTGTGGGGTAATGTAGCCAAAAAGTCACAATTCCATATTGAGGGGCTTCAGAAAAATGTGTGTATCACCGGGGACAGTGTAAAAACAACACACTTCACATGATGGTCGATCCGGAGAGAGAGATCAAGACGGAGCAGGAGATAATGTATCCAGAGAGCACCATCGGCTTCGCCAACAACCAAAACAATCGGTTTAGTATGGAGGCAAACAAAAGTCAAGGACCAGAAACTACCACCAGGGCTCAAGAGAGTTTTACGTTTAATAATGATCTGCTACCTTCAGTGTCCAACTGTGCACAGTTCAGAATAAGCCACCAGGAGAGCTTAGGTGTGTCATTGACAAAGTGCAATGAAAAGCAAATGCATGAGCAGCACAACAGCGAGCAGCTCAGAGACCAATATGGAGAAATGCCCGTACTTAAGAAGGAATATCTCCGAGAAGAAATGGACCGTGTAGGCTGCTACTTGGCTGGAGATCACAATTATTATCGAAAGCAAGAGCAGGACAAAGAGAAGATGATCCGTGAAGACGATACAGATGAGGAACATGTGGAACGTGATGGGATAAAGGATGCAGATAAACCCCACGTGCCCAAAGGTGAGCCTGATTTTTTTTTTTTTTAAAGATTGTGATGGAAATAAGCTCCAAAAAGCGATCACTTCTCAGGATGACTGCTGCATATATTTTAGAAGTTAATTCATAAATATTTTCAACTCTGTGTGTTCTCACACGAGACAAAGGTTAAGAGAGACCCCGAAACATTGTGATTGATTTTTTTTTCTTCTAATAAATTGGTGATGCCGAGCAAGAATCGAGTGTTAGATTGTTTTCTTATCAATGTGATAGTTAAATGTCCTGGGCATCTAATTCATGAGAAAGTTGGATGTGCGCTAACACCTCCTTTAAACATTGTATCCCCAATGTAGCGTCTGAAGGTCTTCTCTTAGCCTTGATAGGCATTTCTCACCAATCTCAACCATTTTCCAGACTCACTAAATGATGTTTGGGAACCTTTTGTTTTGTCTTGAACTTTAGGTGCACTTCCTGTCACAGATGGAGCTGCTGAAGGCGGCTGCCCTGTAACCACAGAGGACAAACGGTTTACATGTGAGCTTTGTGGACGAAACCTCATGAACAGCTTTGATCTACAGCGACACGTGCTGCGACATGGAATATAACGTCTTTCTTTGTTGTTGACAATAAAGAGGGCTGTCCACTGTTGTTTATGTGTGGAGAGCTACATCTTTTAATAAAAGTCCTCTGCATATTTACTCTACTGTTTATTTCTGAGCAATCCGGTTACATTTTTTTTTTTTCTTTCTAATGTCTTTTAGATTATTAAACCTTTTCTAATTATGTATTTTACGATAGCAAAGGATCGTAATTATGTGATTCAAGGAATGAACTTCAGAACCAGTATATGGTGACTGTTAAATGTGTGACACATTGTCATTATGATCTTTTGAGTTATATTATTTGAAGACACTAAGGAAAATCTTTGAATAGCCATGATGCAAAGAATGTCATTTTCTGCTCCTGTACTTTGTTTGAACGGAGAGATTTGATAAGTGTTCATCCTGTTAAACATGCAAAAAAAAAGTATTTACACTGAATTACTGTTTCAATGAACTGGACCAACCTCAATACCACAGATTGTGGAAACGCTTATGCTGCATTCAGGTGCTGTTGGTTATTTGAATACAAGTTGTCTACTTTGCCAGTGAGCAAGTATTTTTTTTGTATTTTTTTTTTTGCCTAGTGGCACAATGTATTTAGTCGTATTCTTCATGTAAATATTAAACTTCTTTTATGTTTTAAATCTTTTCATCCCAGGATAACATTTTATGGCTCTTGTATGTATAATTAAAGTGTTACTGTTGACTGACAGATTTGTGTCTTCATTCTGACAGTGAGACAAAAACAAGACGAGACATAATGAAGCTGCCACTACTCATATTTATAGCTAATTGTTAGGTGATCTGAGGACTCAAGAATACTTTGATAGTTAATTCAAGAAGTTCAAAAAAGGTCAGATTGTAAACTAATAACAATTCTCTAAAGATAACTTGTATCTTATTGTCATCTGTAAATTATTAGTAGAGACTAGATCAGTGTTCACAGTGTTTACAAAGAATGCCCTGGTTAATGTGATGGTTTGCCTTATAATCAGGTTAAATAGTTTTCTTGCGGCTGAAATGTTTAATCAGGACAGACACTAGACCCCTTGTTGTTCAACAGAATTCATCTGAAATTATAACCAGCTGCTGGATAACAAGACTAAAATAACTTAGTGAGGCTCCACAAAGCATTTTATAACCTGGCAAAGAGATTTGCAAAGGGAGTGCAATCCAAAGTAGGCCTCTGTAGGATGGGAGGGAGCTGAGTTCACCCACGGGGAGATACTTGAGCCAAGCAGTGAAGCAGAAGTGTGGAACGCGGAAATACGAGCTTACGAGAATCACCCGAAAGCAGCATTTTCGTCTGTTTGCGTTGCGGTTGCTTACGACACAAGCTTGTCATCCAAGTGTAAGAGGACACCGCTTCCTGGTGTGGACTAAATATCATGGGCTGATGAGAAAGTGAGAAGGTAGAAGAAGTGTTCGAGTCGGGTAAGTAGTCATCGCTGCGATCTCTTGATTTAGAAATGTACGGACATAGTGCAAGTGTAGAAGCAGGAGCAATGTTTTCGCCTGGTTCAGTCCGGCACTGAATGTCCCACAAGAGTTGATGCTGATTTAAAAAAAAGAGACTGTATTTACATTTATACTCTACTGGACTACCTGTATGAAATCTGATTTATGTTGTACTGTAAGACACACAGTTTCAGACTTAGTGCCAGTTCAAATGTGTGTGACATTTTTTTTTACCTTTACTTTACTTGACTGACAAGTTCACACAGACAGTGAACAGGTTTGATTTGAACATACATGTGCAGCTCAATGTGATGTAACATTCATGAGGAAGCAACTTCCTCCTAAGCTTTCTGAAAGAAACATAGGCTGTACTTGATTGCACCTTTTCTTGGACACATTTACCTTTTTTTTTGGCTTGTGGTGAATTCCTATATCCACCATTTTAATATGTGATGGATATGCATGGAAAATATCTACAATGTAGTATTGGAGGTGCTAGATGTTCCCATCAAGCTGGGATTACTAAATGATTGCCTGTTCAGTGGCCTACTTCAGTAGCTCAGTCTGTAGGGACTTGGGTTGGGTTCAAGTCCCGGTGCGGACCAAATATGGAAGTTGGTCTGATAGCTGGAGAGGTGCCAGATCACCTCCTGAGCACTGCCGAGGTGCCCTTGAGCAAGGCGCCAAACCCCCCTCCCCACCATCAGCTCAGGAGCGCCCGCTGTGGGCAGCTCCATCACTCTGACATCTCTCCATTAGTGCATGTCCATAGGATCCTGTTTCTGCATGTGTTTGTTGCATGATTAACAGAGTGTAAAAACTGAAATTTCCCCTTGCAGGGATCAATAAAAGTAAATCTGAATCTTCTTGGATTTTATTCTAAAGTGAGCATCAGGGAGCTGTTCATATATTGAAAGTGTTATGGAAAATGTGGTTCTTATTATAGAGAAAATGGAGCATAACCTACACAGTAAACATCTGTCCAGTGGAACAATTTTCAAATGCAAAGGACTTGCAATCGAGCAATTCAGCATGTACTGATACCACAGTTTGAGTATACATTACTTAAACACGGGGCTTTACTTGGACATGTAAAAAGAAGTTTAATGAAAGTTGAGGGAATTTACTAATTCTAACTAAAATCTATCATCTGTCATAATCTTATCCTTAATTCCACTGTAATTATTTCCAAATATCACATTTCTTCCAGGAAAGACTTTCAAGGACAAGAACAATTTGATAAAAGTGTTGTGTTTACCTTAGTGCTTAGCTGGTCCTGTTTCTTGAGTGTAGAAGTCTTACTTATTGGTACATTTACTGTTCCTTTAATGAGTTTTTAAGTTTAGGCGGCACTCTTCTAACCTATGCTATGTGTGTTTTACTGACAAGCAGGAACAGAAGAGGCACCGTATTCAATTGAAGGAATGTCAGCTGTAAACAAATCTGCAGAGGATGACGGCTCCTTCTCGTCGAAGGTCATCAACATTGTGTTTATCCTCCTGCTGTTGGACCTGCTGGGATTTACTCTGATCCTACCTCTGCTGCCTTCCATTTTGGACCATTATGCTCAGACAGGGGTTAGTGTTGGCTTTTAGGTACACATTACATCTAATGTGTTCTTGTTTTCACAGCACATTTAGATCTGAGATATATATTCATTATTTAAATAGGGAATTAAAAAAAAAAAACTGATTACATTTTATGTCACACAAGAAAACGAAAGTAAAATCTTGCTAGTAAGTATTTTACAGAAAGATTCAAAAGATAACTAGACCCGTTGGACTGTAAGATAAAAAAATAAAAATTATTTGATATTCTAGTTTTATCATTTAGAATCACAGTATTTGGTTTGAAATAGTTGCTGCACATTAAACTCTGTCCCATGTGTCACAGGTGGAAGCAAACATTTTTATTGTTTCTGACAGCAGAAAATGATCGTTCTTCTAGAATAAGAACATTTGAATGGGACAAACTGAACTGAAGATGCGTTGTTGAACAAAGGGATGCTTTGTGTGAAGAGTCTGTTCCAAAAAAAAAAAAAAAACTTTAAGAAACTCGTGAGTGGTTAGATTAGACTGTGTGTGTGTGTGACTCTGATTGCTGACTCATGCTGAATTGACCTCTTTGCTCCAGGTGTCTCAATGTAAATATGTATTTTCTGCTTGGTGTTTCAGGATGTTGTATACGAGTCCCTGCAGGGTGTTGTGGACTGGTTCAGGGACGCTGTGGGGATTCCTATGGAAAAGAAATACAACACAGTCCTGTTTGGAGGTGATTGATGGTTAACGACTAGACTGATGTTTTTCGTTACACTGTGAGAAAATTTTAGCATTATTCATTTTGCAAAGACACTGCTTTCATTTATTGTTTTTGCCTTCCAGGTCTGATTGGTTCGCTGTTTTCTCTGCTGCAGTTCTTGGCCTCACCCATAACGGGGGTTCTAGCGGACCGTCATGGCAGACGGCCCCTGCTCATCCTGACCACAGTAAGTACCACTACTTATTTGCAGCTTTATATTATATATATAACTATTATTTAATATTAAAGGACATATTTTATGGGAAGCAAATTAGACACAATTTTCCCGTTGAAACATGATATCTTTCTTTTTGTACAGTTCATTCCCCGCTTGTAAGAAACCCTTCCAGTGTTTTCAATCAGCGCTGATTCATCAGGGTTTAATTGGGTGCCTTATTTTCCAGTTAGGGCTGATGTCCTCCTACGCTGTCTGGGCAGTTTCCCAGAGCTTCAGCATGTTCCTTTTGTTTCGAGTAATTGGGGGCATTTGTAAGGGAAACGTCAGTCTCTGCACGGCCATTGTGGCCGACTTGCCTTGCCCAAAAGCCCGGAACAGAGGAATGGTAGGCACACATTCTTTTGGACCATTACTCTGTTTTTTAAAATGTATCATTTCAAACACCATAATGGGATGCATGCTTTATCTTCCAGTAAAGGTTCATATGTGAAAACAGTCTCTGTGAGTTTTGTGTCTTCCTCTTTTCAGATACCCTATTTGATCAGAGTGAATTTTTATCTTGATCTTTTCTCAGGGCTCTGACCCTCACATTGTTTAAGTTGTGCATAACACTGCTGACAAGCCGACATGTAAAACAAAAAGTAACTAATGTTATCATCTCCAGGCTATGATCGGCATTGCCTTCTCTCTGGGCTTCACAGTGGGACCTCTGATGGGTGCTTACTTTGCCCTCCGCTCCAGAACAACAGGGGCGTCTTCTACCAGACTCCAGCTCTGCTCGCCTTGGCCTTTAGTGCTGCTGATCTGCTCTTCATTTGGCTCATGCTGCCAGAGACGCTCACAAAGGATGTCAAGGTTAGATACAGGAAACCTTCAAGCTGCCAAATGATTTGCTTATCTGCAATATGTTTCCCAAAACTTTGATTTCTTGCTGAGTCCTGGTACTTTTCAGCAGCTACAAGTACCAGGTCTCTAAAAAAAATATTTTGGACATTTAAGGATTTTGGTTTCAATAAGAGGACTGATATACCTCTGTATGTCTGTTTTGTAAATTTGAAGCTACTGTCAGTCGCCAGTTGGATGAACATAAAAAACTAAATTAGAACACAGCATGTCTGACTGTGAAAATGACTGGGTGTAGTTTTTTATTAGGATATTCACCAAACTAGTTCTTGGCCAGGAGCTACACTTCCTGGAGTCTTTACTGATTGCCTTGGCAACTTCACAGCGAGGACATTTAGCCCTCTTGTTGGGCTGAAGTTGGATTGAGCTTTTCTAGGGATTACATTTAGATGATAACAGTGATAACCGCGTAAACAGACCTGATGTAACACTTCTACAAAGTTAAGAGTTAAAAGGAGCTGTCAATCAATACAATCGGGACACGCCCACACAGAAGAGGTCTTATCAGGCAATATGAATGAAAACATGTACGGGCGAACTTTGGGCGTGTAGAGACTTTACAATACGCTTTAACACCACTCGCATGAAATTCAACACAGATGAAGTTACAGTAGGGGCTGAGTATCAATACTCAATACTGTTTAAGGTGTTGACCAAAATAACTTAGTACTCTATTAAATATAAACCTGCATTCAGTCCTTTTTGTATCCAGATATTGAAGAAATAAACTGCACACCTTTTGGAGTTTTGATTTAATGCACTTGCATTTGGCGCATTAAGCCATATTAAGTAAATGCAGCTTCATCACCCCCGCAGCAAATTCTGGTTTCCATTACGTATAACCTTACTACTTAACAGATTTTTCTTCACCAATGTAAGTTATTTGTCCATGGTCTGTCCCCCTTTCTGCTGAGATTTAGGAAAGGTGGTTTCTAATAGTCTGAGTGTCTATATTGCTTTTCCAAGACTTTTCTTTTGCAAAATAATTCATTTTCTATAACATATGAACAAAAGAACAGGGGAGTTCACTTCTTGTGATCGTCCAGACATCAAGCAAAGGGGGGGAAAAACAAGATGCAGAGGACATTTACGAACAAATTACAAATAGAATCAAGTACAATCCAATCTAGTTTTTATTTAATCTGCATCTCTGAAAACAGATATGTTTTCTTGTTCTTAATAGGCTTCCTCTTCAGAGTGCGGGGACTCCAGAGACCTTCTGAGTCCATTATCTCTGTTCCGTTTTTCAGCTGTTACAAAGACAAAAGATTCACCTTCGAAAGAAAGTGAGTATGGCACATCAGCATAGATTCCTGGCAGGAACGTGCACCCGTTTGACCCATTTATGAAGTGCAATTGACCTTTGGCTTACTGAAAAAAGGGTGTGCATTTATTTACAGGAATGAAGAAGCTTCAAGTCCTGGGCCTGGTTTATTTCTGCTACCTCTTCCTGTTCTCTGGTCTGGAGTTCACGCTGAGTTTTCTGACTCATCAACGCTTCCAATTTACAAGGTGTGACTGACAGATAAAGCTGTCTACTCTGTGAGGTAAAGTCAACGCACCTGAAAATCATCATAGTCTTTCTAACAAGCATTTCTTCTTTCACTAGTATGCAGCAGGGAAAGATGTTCTTTTTCATCGGCGTCATCATGGCTTTGATCCAGGGAGGTTATGCTCGCAGAATCAAACCTGGGCACCATATCAGGGCTGTTCGTATGGTATGAGTGCACACTATTTACTTTACCAATAGTTGTACAACAAAATACTCTTTGAAGACATGATGTAGCACTGCATAATTATCCTATCTGATAAACCGTATTTCTCATTTTTTAGGCAATTGTTACATTAATCCCTGCGTTTATTCTCATCGGACTCTCGTGGAATATGACAATGCTGTATGTTGGCTTGGCGTTGTACTCATTTGGTGAGCTGACTGAACACTGTATGCTATCTGAAGCCCAGTTAAACCCTTGATTGTACACAGGGTTGTGAGAAATGTGTGTAACATTGTTTATAACAAGTGATATGATATATATTAATACAACAGAGTAAAACCAGGGCATGAGGGATACAAGGAAATGGCTTGTAAACTCTTTTTTAATCTATATTTAATCCACAGATTTTAATGACTTTGCAAGTAAACTAGAAATAGTGCTCTGATTATGTTTAAATATACCACCTTTAAGAACCAAAGGGCTGAAAATGCAGAGTCAAAGTGTAAATGGGAGGACTTGAAAAATTAAACTGTATCCAATAGTGTACCCATGTTTTATGAGGTGCATGTCGTATGTTGTTGTGCTATCTGTAGAGTCAGTTTCTATATTCTGATCTTGCATTTTTTAGACAATTTATACTGATTGTGGCTCTCGAATTCTTCTCAATTTGTATAAGGTTAAACTCCCCCAAAAGTGTGACTAATCAAAACTGGAGGTCACCTTCCAAAAAAGTAACTACGGAACCATCTCACAAGAAGGATAGATGTCGTGTGTACATGATGACCATGATGACTAAAGACCCCACATAACACAATATTGCTGAAGTGTTCATTACATAAACACTTCCACATAGTTGGGGCAGCCATTAAGTATGTAAATAAACTTTCTGGTTAAATAAATTAAATAAAAACCTGCATCCTCAGGCAATGTACTTAATGAAAAATGTAAAATATGCATCTGTATAACGAATGTATTCATTCATTTATGTCGATTTGTATTCACATATTTTCCAGCGGCTGCAATAGTAGTTCCATGCCTGTCCACTCTTGTTTCTGATCATGGTGAGCTCCTAATCATTTTTATAAATAAAAACATACTATTTTGAATATATAATTATGAGGTCAATGTTGCTTATTATTGACTGTGTCTACTCCTCCAGGCTCTGCCACTCAGAAGGGCACAGTGATGGGAATCCTGCGTAGTTTGGGAGCTCTAGCCAGAGCACTGGGACCAGTGGTGTCATCCTCTGGTAAGATAGACAGATGGCAGTGACGGCAGCATATGCAGCCAAAACCTGATTTACTGTGTATTAAATATTTTTGCTTGATAAAAATGTTTGTTTCTTGTTAACTATTGTGTTTTCTGCACAGTTTACTGGATAGCTGGAGCTCCGACCTGTTTTCTCCTCTCGGCTGCTTCTTTTATTATCCCCCTGGCTCTCCTGAGAACAGCTGGAAAGCTAAAGGATGAATGAGAGACACCAAGACTTGAAAGAGACATTTTGGTGTTTGTTAGTTTTAAATGAATGTTATGATGTTTACGTCTGTTTGGGAAAAAACACTGACTCAGTACTTTGACACATGCAAAAAAAGGAGATGTAGAGTGCCGAGCTGTTTCTGCCATGGATCAACACATGAAGAAAATAATGCAAGCAGAATGTGCCAAACCGATCAACATTATTGAAAATATCAGATATATTAGATAGATGGTACATATTGTGAATGACACAGATGTGGGTTGGTTACAAATCACATTTATCCTGGAACATTGCTATCTTTTTATAATGCAGTATTTTATCTATCTCTCAGATTATTATTTTTTACATTGTAGCATTTTATTTTTGATCACTTCAGAAAATGTTTATATTGTATTTTTTGTGATTAAAAATAAGTAAAAATTGAATTTCACACCTGTCTCTGGAAATAAATTAGTATATTCAAGATTTTACAAAAAAAAACCTTTATTGTAAAAATGTTATTGTAGTGATGAAAATGAATGAATTACATGTACCTAAGTACAACTAGAAATCAAATATATATATATGGTACTAATTTTTATATTTTAATTTTAAGTTGATTTTTTATTTTATTTGTCAATTTTATTTAATTAAAAAAACAATAAAGTTAAGAAAAACAAACACAAAATCTCAAATTTTGAATGAAAAGGAGCAGAAAGAAGATTAATCTTTTACAAAACATTAATTAAAACAAAACAGAACACTTAATTCAAAAATAATTCAAATTAAATTAAATTGGCTGCAAGTCAGAATGTTTAAACTCCACAACATACGTTTTACTCCATGAAAATGTAAAAAATATGTATTCATTATTATTAACTAATAAATGTTTATATATATATATATATATATATATATATAATACAATATTATAATGTTTTATTTGGTCCCGGTGGTGTAGATAAATAATCCGGTTATATTTGTTTGAAATATTAAAATAATGAACACTGAATGATACTTTTTAAATTTACTTGATACTTTTATTTTTTTATAAAGCCAGTAAACACAATGACTCGTCAGGATAAGATGAAAACTAAAGAGTTGTTTTTGTCTGAGCCGGAAGAGGTCGCTGTTGACTCGTCATGTAAACATCAGCTGTTTCACGCAGTTCATCCAGCTAGCTGCTAACTACTGCTATGCTATCAAACAGGTTGCAGCCAACGCACCATTTCCGCTGATAAACGTAATGTCGCTGTAAAGGGGACTTTGACAACACATGTAAGATCGGTTGAACATGCGGAAACTTGACTGTATGTAAAGAAAATCTTGAAAATGGACAAGGTAGGCACCCAAAAGTAAAAACAAGGGTTGTTTGTAGCCAGCTAGCGACCTAGCCTGTAACGTGATTGTACGCTGGTGCACGAAGTTAAAAGTTATTATCCACCAAACTTAAGCTGTTGCAAAGTTGATATAACACCTGATGTGACTATACGGGAAAAAAAAAAGCTTATGACATGAGGTATTGTAAAATGTTTTGATGGGTTCCCTAAAGTTGCGACAATGCGACGTTTGATGACAACATGTTACTTTGAGCTTTTTGTTATGAACTGTGATGCTAACTAACAAACTGCGCTGAACACTTTGTAAGTTTCATGTGTTTTGATGGCGTGATCGCACTTTGGCAATACAGGAATTGAGTTGAGCTGCAGCCAGCAAACGTGATTGTCAAAGGTCGTATTTCAGCACACAGTCGATGACAGACCATGCTTTACTTTTTCCCCCCCAGCATCTCAAAGTGTCATCGGCTGACCAGAAGCATCCGATGGGACAGAGGAAGGACTTTATGGAGCCTCACGCAGCCTCATCAACACCTGTGGTTTTGCCAAACCCTTATTTGTCCGACCAGGGTTTAAAAGGGTAGGAGAAACAAATCACACGTCTCAATGGATTTTGTCATTATTTTGTTTCATTTTTATGTTCTCATGTCTCTCTGTTTTCCTAAAGTCATTTTCCCTCTAGAAGCTTACCCATATTTAACAGGACATGTTGTTAAATATACTTCAATCATATTTATTTTTTACTGAAGATGTAGCCTCATGCAGAAAACGAGGCTGATACAATATATCCATATTTATGTAAACACTTATTTGTCAGACTCTAATGTTTACTATCATTGTAAGCAATTGGCAAGGGTTACCATCAAGATATGCATTTCAAATGTAGTTTGAATGGTGAAATGTTTTCTGTCATTGTAGGGTCAGTAAAGCTGGCTGCCAATTTGAGGTTGTAGGCTATCTAGAAATATAACAACTGAAAGCCGAGTTAGGTGATTGTTACATTTTGACCCAAGGAAACGTTGAACATTTGACCAAAGTAACAACATTTCTGAGAACATAAACCTCTTAAATGATCCTTTAAGGGCACAAATGGACATACTCGTGGATTTATGTTTATGTTCTTTTACGTTTCACACTAAGAGGATATAAAGCTTGGGAACACTGTGCTTGGGACACACCTTTAATCCTGTTTTTTTTTTTTTTTTTTTAATTTGTGAACATTGTTAAGGAACAGGCCAGGTGTGAGCCTTAAGCAGAGTCCATCTAAAACAAGTGGAGCTCCTGCAGGAAGAGGTGGAGAAGTGTCGAGGACTCATGGCTACAGCAGCACCCGCCGTGTTAGAGAGACCAATAATGGTTTCTTGCAGAGAGACAGGACTGAACGGGACCCACAGGTAGGGTTTCGCTTCTTTTCGAGGACCAACATTTTGTCTTAACCATCTTTATTCATCAAATGAATGTCAGCTATTTTCATCTACCTTCATAGACTTCAAAACCCACCAACTACTCTCCTGCTCAGGGTAGAATAATGGGTAAGAACCAACAGGATGCACATAGAAAGGGTAGGTATCACATACACTTTGACTGATGTTTTTTCCATAATGACCAGATATCATGGGTGTAAAAATACCTGAATTCACCATATTTCCCGGCTTGTGATTTGACAAAAGGCGTCAGAGGCGCCAGATCTGCCCCAAACTCTGCAGAGAAGTCAAAACCATCAGAGCCAGCCTCGATTCCATTTGAGGTGAAGATGACTGATTTCCCAGAGCTAGCTGATATTACACGAAACAGGGCAGGCCCTCCTCACGTTCAGAAAGAATGCTGGGGTCCTATTTCTCAAAAATTGACCTCTTCCTGGAAGGTGAGTTTACCAGAAATGTCAGATGTGATATTGAAATGTTATTTGTATATAGAAAGTTGCCAGTGCTGTAAGATAAAGCTTCAGTACAAATTTTAAGGACACTAATTGAGTTGATGAAAGACAACATTTGAGAGATTTGCATGGAACAGGATTGTTTTAGATTTGTTAATTGTTGTTGCTGGTTTTGTTTGTCTGGAACATGTCGTTGTAGGATAACGGGTGGTACATAAAAATTTTTTTAAAAAGTTTTTGTAATCTTCTTCTCAACAGTCTGGAGAGAGAAGTTTCCCTACACAGTCGGACCCCCAACAAACTGCCACTAATACTCAGCCAGATTCCTCTGCTGGTGCATCAGGTGGGTCTCTAAGCATTCCTTTAATGACTTTAGTGCAGTGTCAATTACACATAAGGTACTGATCATCAATTTTACTTCTTTTTTTTCTCATTGTTAACAGATCAGCCAGTGGTGACTTCCTGGGCTAATGTCGCCTCTCAGCCTCCGAAGAAACCTGTCCCTGAAGAAAAGACAATCAGCAGTAAAAACATTCAGGTTAGATGACATGTTTGGTTTGCTTCATTTTCAAAGTGGACCTTCAGGTCCTGTAAGTCTTCAAAAGTATTGAATATGACTGAATAGCATTCTCCTTTTTAAAGGAGTAGAAGGAAACAAAAAGTATGACATTGTATTTACAGAGGACTTCAACATTTTTCATGTCTAGAGTTGTGTTGGTTATTACTTTTTATTGGCATCTGATAGGAACTGTTGGGGGACATAATGCTTCTAAAACTAAAGATGAGACTGATGTGATAGTAGAAGTGTCAAATTGCAATTATGTGTGTTATTAAAGTATTTTTTTGTCCAAAGTGTAAGATCGGACACAACAGACCAGCACAACAGAAACCATTTTAATTGAAACTAGGAATATGTAGGAAGACTTTACAAAGCTTAACTGTGAAAAAAGAAACCTTTCGGTATCATAGTTGTAGGATACACTCTGTATTATGTCTTAAATCATTTGCCATCTTAAAGGTGAAATCTGTAATATTATTCACATCACAAAGTCAATGTGTACTGGTGACCAACCTTACTTAGTAGCAACTCTTCACAGTCATAAAGACTGATGCCTCGGTCAACTAGGGTTATTACATGATCATTCACAACTCAAAAATGACCCTCAAACAAATAAAAGCTATATCTATTGTTGATTTGCATCAGCTGCTTTGGTAGGTAATTAAAGGCACATGTGTTTTCTTGTGCTGCCGAGTCTTTAAACGTTGTTTTTTGTCTCTTAATTCCGTTTCTTGTCAGATGGAGGAAATGAATGCCGAGCAGGAAGACGAATCCTCAGGAAAGAAAAGACGTAAGAAAAAGAAGAAGAAGGCTAAAGGTGCTGGTGAAGATGTAGAAGCTCAGTCCGAAGTTACCGCAGTTTACCAAGAGCCCCCCAAATTTGAGGTGAATACAATTTATTTCTCAATATTTATTAATTCCATGCAAAAAGCACTTTTTGTATTTGAAAATATTGATGAAGACGGTTTTGTTGGTCTGTTGTCTTGCCAGGATGAAGAGGAGTTTCCAGGCTTGAGTGTTGCTTTTACTGGAACGAATAGATGGATAACAAGCACACATGCAGTAAATCTATGCAATGAGGTAAATATCATCCGTTCAAATCAGTTCAAATGTTTTTTCACAGAACAAATAAAATACTACATTAAGCTGGTGCAACAATTGCATTTTGAATTTTTTTAAATCATGTTTCATTTTCCAGGAAAACCAAAGAGGAAGTGTTCAGCATCAAAATGCTGGACAAACCAAGGAAACACCGACTGCAGCAAAAACTCTGCCTACAGAGACAGCTAAAAAGGCACAGGTAGGACATCATTCATGTTTAATGTAGAGAAGACATTATCCTGGAGAAAATAGTCAGGATTCTGTTTGGTTTTAGCCCTGTTTCTGGTTTTGTAATTCTTATAGAAAGCTGAAAAGGTGTCTGGGAAGAAGAGCAAAGTTCCTGTTCAGCTGG